TTTTGGCGAAAATATATAATGTCTGGAGATTTTTGTATGATCGGAAATGCAAAAAAGGAAGAAGGCGGAGAAGGATGGGAAAGAGAATGTTTATCCTGTACCCGACCGAGTTACATTTTCTCGCAATTCACATTGGCGGATCTGGGGGAGGGGGGTCATGGGTCCTGACCCCTCCCTTGGGCAACAAAAAAAAGGGGAAAAAGAAAAGAATTCTAAACCTACCTTTTCAGGACCCGTGAGCTGATTTTTTTCCCTTTTTTCTTTTTTTTTGTTGCTATTAGAAAATTAGAATTTTGAAGAACATAAAATTCATTAAAACACACTTTAAATGTCGGGAAAGCTCAATTCCCGCCATCTAGGAATCAAATTTTTCCCGGGGGAGATCCCCCGGACCACCCTTGCTTTTTTGAGATTTATCCATTCATGGAAAAAAGAATACGCATGCAACTACTCATTTGTTTATGTGTGTATACACACATAAAATAAAAAATGAGAAAAATTTACCTGACCTTTTTCAAGAGGGGAAAACCTTGAATTTTGTAGAACTTTTAATTAAAGACATTTCAGAAGTCGAAAAGCTCATCTCCTGCCATCTAGAAATCAAAATTTTTCCGGGGGAACCCGAACCCCCTTTATCTTTGGAGTTCATTGATTAATTGAATCATTTTCAAGGGGTGGGGGAAAACCTTGAATTTTGAAGAATTTAAAAGTCATTAAAAGACACTACAGAAGTCGGGAAAGCTCATTTCTCGCCACCTAGGAATCAACATTTTCCCGGGGAAGAACCACAGGACCTCCCTCCCCCCACCCTTTCTTTTTGGGATTTATCGATTCATGGAAAAACTACGTATGCAACTTACTCAATCTTTTTTTATGTATGTACACGCACATAAGGCCTATTTACTGTATTAACAATGGGAAAAAATTATCTGAATGTTTTCAAGAGTGGAAAACCTTGAATTTTGAAGAACTTAATTACTTTCAAGTTCTTCAAAATTCAAGGTGTTCCCCTCTTGAAAATTATGATAATGAATCAATGAACCCAGAGAAAGGGAGGTTCGAGTTCTTTCCGGGAAAAATTAGATTTTTAAATGGTGGACAATGAGATTTCCCGACTTCTGAAGTATTTTTTAATGACTTTAATTTAAAAGACACCTCAGAAGTCGGGAAAACTCATTTCCCGCCTTCTAGGAATCAAAATTTTCCTGGGGAATAACCTCCGGACCCCCTTTCTTTTTGGGATTCATCGATTCATGGAAAATTCGTATGCAAATACTCATTTTTTAAAAATTGTTATGTATGTATATACACATAAGCCCTATTTACTGTAACAACAATGGGAAAAAATTACCTGACCGTTTTCAAGATGGGAAAACCTTGAATTTTGAAGAACTTTAACGTAATTAAAGACACGTCAGAAGTCGGGAAAGCTCATTTCCCGCCATCTAGAAATCGAAATTTTCCCGGCAGAGGAATGTTGAAAAAGAGAAGAGAAAAATGAAGACAAGAATAAAAAGGAAGATATAATGAACAGATATCGCAATACCCCGACCTGCAACCCTTCTCCACTTCAAAAAGTGTCCATAGCGCATTTGATCTAAGCTGCCAGATATTCTCCGCAGTGGCGTAAGCACCGGGGGACAAGGAGAAATATCCATCTGTGGAAAATCTTTCCCCATTGAATGCCCTTTTCACCCGGGAAAGTGCCTGAAAACCTCAAATTTTAAATCGCATATTTTGTTGAGGTAGGCCAATTTCCTATAAAAATTGCACATTTTAGGGAGTTTTGATCAATTCCGACGAAATTAGAATTAAAAAAACAATTTTTCGCGCGCTTCGCGAATTTTTTAATCTTCAAGCTTGTGCTTGCTCTTTTTCGCCTTCAAAGTTATAACACATATTCCCAAACTCAAGAAAGAAAATTTAAGATAGATCGTTTAACCTATTAAAAAAGGGCCTCA